CCCTTTTGTGCGCCTATTGTAATATTTTTTAGTTGTAGATGAACACAATATTTTATTTATTTATTTTTATATGGTTCTGAGGATCAAACCCAGTGCCTCACACATGTTGAACAAGTACTCTACCGCTGAGCCACAACCCTAACCCCCTAGTTATCATATTTAATTTTACTAGTCTTTGAAATTTGCCACTAAATTACTTTTATACCATGTCTTTTCTATATAATTTTATAATTTCCACTAAATTCTGAACTGGAAGCTTTAAAGGTACCATACTTTATTATTTATCTCTTATCTCTAGTATTAAGTACAGTCTCCAACTCACAGTGGGAAAAATTATAACTTATTCTAGAATTCACTTCCACCACTATTAGCACATATGGTGTCCTGGAGAAGCTTCCCTCTGTAGTCAACGTGTGTGTGGGCATAAAAACAAGAGTAAAATTTAAAAGTATTACTTTATACTACACACGAGGGATTTTTATGTGGAGAAAAACTTCTTTCATACACATTTATTGACTGCCTAGTAGGTTCTAGAATTATCCTAGGTACTGTGTGTGTGGGGGTGGGTGGGTGTATAAACAGAGAGTCTCCCCTTGATAGAGCTCATATTGAGTACAAGAAACTACCATGTTGAAATGTTTACAGAGTAGAAGATGATCTAAAAAGTCCTAAGTCACTCCTAAGATAGCGAATTCTATAGAAATGAGGTGATACTTGGGTAGTATTCAACTGTAAAGTTATTTACTTGACAGAAAAAAAAACAGAGAGAGATATGGGAGGACATTTAGACAAAGGAACTGTGCAAGAAGAGCACAGTAGTATGAAACTGTGGTATGTGTTTAGGGAGTTGTAATCAGACTGAAAGCAGCAGGAAGCAGGTTAGAAAAACAGAGAAAGATCTTCTCACAGTGGGTCTTATATGGAAAACCAAGAAGTTTGCCTTATTTCCCAGTAGATGACAGCAGCCTTTGCAATGGAAATTTTGAATGGGTCTTAATCACTGTGAAAAAAATTAAACATTTGAAGAATAGTGTCTATGTGGAGAAGTTGAAATACCTGCATTTATTTGGTTCAGTTTAGAGATCAGGACCAATGAGAAGCATACTTGACTCTGGATAGTGACCAGTTATTTTCAGTTCACACCGAGGACAAAGCAAGAAGAAATAGGCTTAAATCTTAGCTGAAGGGAAAATTACCTACAGGAGGGGTCCTTCACAGAAAGATGGAGTGTGACTGACGTAGATCATTAAAATGTTGTGTTGGACTGTCTGGCTGCATGCTGGTTTCTGTGTACTCAAACAGCCAATTTTAGAATTATGGGAAGACTGATGATTTTCAAACTTGAATAGGGTATTTAGAATAAAGAAATTTCTTAAGGGTCTATTATTTATTCAGATATTCTGCTATGTGCCCAACAAAAGTTGTAATAATATATTTATGTTCGGAAAAGTTATTATTTCTTACACAGCATTCATATTCCTTTAAAAAAGAGAAATAATCAGAATTAGTTTTAGAAATAGGTATTGTTGTATTAAAGGTATTTTGTATTCATGTACCATTGCATAAAGTTATTAAAGATCAGGTAGATATAATTAATTTAAATTCAGTTATTAATCTTTATGGGTAACATTTATTGGTCAGATGATTACAATGAAAATCACTACTTGGTTTATTAGCTGGTGGTACTTTGTCAGTTAAAACAGTGACTCACTCTTCTCACTGTTTTAATTTGTGGGTGAGTCATTTTTTAAAATAATATAAATGTTTTTTGCTTTTTCAAAAATGCTTAATTTCTGAAACTGCTGTATGTGTGCTTTTTGTTGGAAAATGTATACAAGATGGAGAGTTGTAATCAGACTGAAAGCAGCAGGAGTGGCTATTATGTTCATCCTTCTGCTCCCTTAGTCAAGTGTCTGTCTTGTGGGCTGCCTAACAGTGAAAGGAAGAAAGAGATTTGCTTCTGGCTAGAGAAAACCTTGAAATGCTTACTGTATAGTCTTCAATAAGACTTAGGCAACCTTGGCAAGCACTGTTTGGATATTTGATGTTAATGTAAAATTTTAACATGACTTCAAATTAATCAGGTATCAAATGGTAATCAATTTTATTTCCTAATAAACCATCCCAAACACTTTGGAAGTGATTTTGTACCTACTCAGATTGAATTACTTTTGCTGTGCCCCAAGAGGTATTTATATCCAGCTAGTACACTTGCAAGAGCAAATTATTGGGTAAATGTCATTAACTAGTAGAATTGATGAAAGTGAATCTTTTTTAGTTGCCTTTTGTGCTGACATTGAACAACACAATAGGGCCTTGGAAAGAGACAATAGCTAGTATCTGAATGATATAGACTAGGTAAGAGAGACGGAAGACATGATAATAAAAAGTAAATGTACTTCACTAAGGAAAAATTCTGTTCTGTTATAATTTAGTATTATGTATTTATTTTAAAATACTTGGTTTAAGGGTCATACACATAAAGATTTAAAATAATAGTTTATTTGTCATGATTTTCTGTCAGTTTGAAACATTAAAATGGACTGTGTGAATTTTTTTAAATTATAAATTGGGCTGGGGATGTGGCTCAAACAGTAAGTAGCGTGCTCACCTGGAATGTGTGGGGTGCTGGGTTCGATCCTCAGCACCACATAAAAATTAAAAAAATAAAGATATTGTGTCCACCGAAAACTAAAAAATAAATATTAAAAAATTTTCTCTCTCTCTCAAAAAAATAAAAATAAAAATTGCAATTCAAATTAAGCAGTTTCACTTCCAGACAAATGAAGATTCTTCTCAGCTTGACCAGACAGGTGGTTGGCCACATTTGCCTGTGCTTTGAAAGGAATATTATGATTCCAAAAAGCACATGTATTCTCTGTGAATGAGCCTTTCTGATTTCATCAGATACTAAGATATTTACTTCACTGAAAATGTTATGCTTCATTTATCTTTTTAAATTGTGACCATTGACTCTACTTAATTTCATAAGAAATTAAGTCGTTAATGACACTGATACTGAATATTTTAATAAAAAATTTTCTGAAAATTAAACTCTTTATAAATATATGTCAGAAGCTAAATTTTTTTAATGTAAAATGATAACACCCATGAGAAAGAAAAAGAAGAATATCACCCATAAAATTGACACATGAGCAGAATGTCATTTTTCTGTTTCCATGTTTCCAGTATTAGTTATGTGTAGTTTTTAAAAAAACATAGTGTGTTTTAAAAAATATTTTTAGTTGTAAATGGACACAATACCTTCATTTTGTTTATTTAGTTTTTTTTTTTTTTTAAGGTGGTGCTGGGGATGGCACCCAGTGCCTCATGCTAGCATGCTAGGCAATCACTCTAACACTGAGCCACAACCCCATCCCAACCAGAATGTGATGTATATTTAGTGTAATTAAAAAACATGGTGGGTTTATAGTATTGTTTAGTATTTTGTTCTTTGTTAGTTATTTTTGTTTGGTTCTCAACCAAGTAAAACATAGATCACTTTCCTGCCTTTAGGAAGATGTACCTGAGTTTCTCTAAGCGCCTGTTGTTTTTAGGATTTTAGGATTTATGAGGTTAGCTAATTTTTTAAGAAAAAAAGAAACTGTTAATTTTCTTATTATTTGAAATGTCCAATATATTCTGAAAATGATGTACTTTATACACAGATAGCACCCTAATCTCAGATAAAGACCCTTTGTCAGGAATGAGAGCCCCCCCACATTGAGTACTCAATAGCAGCTGGCTTTACTTAAATACAAATTGCCCTTGAGGTTTGTATTGTTTTTTGTTCTTATACCTTGTCCTTGAGGTGTGTTGTTCTATCTTTAAGTATTTAAAAGTACTTAGAGGATCTGTGTGCTAATGCCAAATTTCAAACATTTTACCTACATGGGATAAGGCAATCCTAGAAATTCTAAAAGAAATATTTAAGACCATTAGAACTATCAATATTATGAATCCCCTGGCCATTTGTATTTTTGCAGCCTTGAGATTAAAAGCTATAGTACAAAATAGATTCAGTAAGGGCCTGATTTATTAAGCACTATTTTTTTTCTTAGTCACTAAAACAATGAGGATTAATTTACTCTATAATTAGCTAAATATCCTGTGCAGTCTTTTCATAAACCTGTTTGTGAAGAATGTTCATTTATCTTAAACAGAGTAATCTTTAACCCATCATCTAAGGATTATAGAATTAAAACATCCAATAGAATGAAAAAAAATTTGATATTTTATGCTGTATTTATGCTTTGCTTCTAAGTAAATCCTTGATTTCTTTTGCAGCTTAGTGTATTATAAATTATATTCAAGAAGGCACTAGAATCTCATATACACATTAAAGATTTTTTTTTATTTTTATAACTGTGACATGTTTAACCTGGTTTCTCTGAAAAATCAATGTAATATGTAAGCAGAGACAGAAAATATTTCATGTTATCACAATTGTGTGGTCAGATTCCTTTTATAATTCTGAAAAGAGCAGTCTTGAGAATTATTGTCTGATGGCCCATGCAAGTAAAGAAGGGTAAAATGTACTTATTCTTACATTAATTTACATCAATGATGGATAGAAATAAATACAATTTCACAAATGAATCCAGCTTTTAAGAATATATTTTTGTAATAAGCAAAGAACAGAATGCTGCTAACATAAACACACATTAACTTAGACTATTACTATAAATACTTAAATGAATGCTTTTCTCTCATGAAAAGAATAGTTCATTTCCTATAATGATGCAGACATTGAAAAAAATATATATTAAGGTTTAATTTGGCACATTTGTTGGTCATATTTCTTGCTTTTATAATGTGGTGCTTGTTTTAAACTCCACATCTTTGCCACTAGACCCCATTAACAATCTGCCCCTGAGTTTTTAAAAAAAATTAAGTGAGTTGTAATGAATTGAATTCACTCATTCATTTGTTCCACTTTAAAAAGTCCATTTAAATTACTAAAAAAAATTACTTAAATGTTTCTTGTTGTTTCCTTCCAGATTAGAGATACTAAATCAGCAGATCAAAAAACAACCCTTTTGCATTTTATTGCTGAAATTTGTGAGGAAAAATACCGAGACATCCTGAAATTTCCTGAAGAATTGGAGCATGTAGAAAGTGCAAGCAAAGGTAATTGATTTAGAACTGCTTTGAAACTATCCCTGGTCTACATATTAAATGATAATATTAAAGAATTTATAAACATTAATCATAAAAATAGTTTTGTTTGTTCACTGATATAAGAAATGCAGGAGATAGTTTTCGTTAGTATGTATTTGATAGTGTTGTACATTTTAATAGCCTGTTTTTGTCTTCTTTTTGTAACATTACTGTTATTAAAGTATTCATATGTATCGTCAGACAATATGTTCATTCTTTAATTTGATAAGCAATTAAGGGCATTTTATGTTATATGTAGTATGGTATCTTTTAGTGATTTGAAAATGATCATAGAACCCTTGTTCTTTGTGTTTAAAATCTTAAAGTTGAGGAAAATAATCATGTATATACACACATCCACATGAGTAACTGATAAGAAAAAGGATGAATATGAGAAGGGTACATGAAAAATAATATCTTGTAGTTGAAATGCAGAAGAGAGTAATTTTGAATGTTTTGATTAGAGAAGTTTTTATGGAAGAGGTTAGGAGTTAAAATATGAGGGATAGAGTTTTAAAGGCATAGAAAGGGGCTTGTATTTTTAAAGAGAAAATAAGCTGAGCAAGGCACAGTAGTAGAATGTTTTAGATCAAGTGAGAGAAATAGTTGACAGTAAGGCTGGAGCAATAAAGTAAGCATCTCAGAAACTTCATTGACAGCCTAATGAGTCTCAGCCTGATGTTGCAGGCAGCAAGGCATCAGTTAGCAGTGCTTGGCACCAGTGAAGAACACAATGGGGAAAGTGATAATGCTTCTAAGATTTTAATTTGAAGTAATTAGCCTTGTCTTTTTGTATTATTTACTCCTGTAAGAGATTAAAAAGTAATAGGAGGTTAGATCAAGGCTACATTTTCTGAGGATGAAATTATATATTTTGCCTTTTAAATAAGAGAATGTCCCATAAATCTTATATTTGAAATTGTATTGCATTGTATTATAGAATGGAATTATTCATTTTATAACTCTGAGGACTTTCAGAGCTCAAAAGTGTGTGTTTCCCAAATTTATTTCAGACCATATAAACCTGTTTGTGTCCTTTGAAGGAAAAAAAGTGATTCCATGAAACCTAGAATTTTGTTTGTTTAGTGTGGGTTGTGGTAATCTTTGCTGTTTTGGTTTTATCAATCAAATAGACCATGAACCCCAGTGTATTTTGTTTTTTGTTTCACAGAGCAGAATGACAGTAGAATACAAGGTACAAATCCATAGTGCTATGTGTATTCTTTCTTTATTTTAAGAAAACTCTCTGTATGACTGAAAATTATATTTTCTACTATCATAATACTAGCTTTCTGGCAATTGCTTTCTAAAGAACTTCTGTATCTTGACACTTGTATTTAAAAATATGCCTTTGTAGTTGGGTATGATTGATAAACCTATAATCCCAGCTGCTTGGGGGGCTGAGGCAGGAGGATCCCAAGTTCAAAGCCACCCTCACCAATTTTGCTAGGCCCTCAGGAACTTAGTGAGAGATTCATTCTCTCTCTCTCTCTCTCTCTCTCTCTCTCTCTC